AGATTCAAGAAAGAAAGAAAGAAGTGTTCTGCTGAAATGTGGGATAAAGAGCTATGGGAAGCAGGCAGGAAAGTGGAGTTGAAACCAGGATAAGATCAGCCATGATCACATTAAATGGTGGAGCAGGCTCAAATGGCTGAATTCCCTACTCCCACTCCTAATTCCTCTGTTCCTATCAGCAATGTTGGAGCAGGCATAAGAGATTAAATAGCTTACTCCTTCTTCTTGTCCGTATGTGTATATTTAACTATGCTAATGACTACCCATCAGTTCCAAGGAGACTGCCTGCTCACCTGCAAACTTAGGCCAGCAGAAAGCAGGCAACCAAAAACAGGAACTGCTAGAAAAGCTCAGCAGGTCTGGCAGCATCTGTGGAGAGAAATCAGAGATAATGTTTCGGATCAAGTGACCCTCCCTCAGAGTTAACTCTGATTTCTCTCCACAGATGCTGCCAGACCTGCTGAGTTTTTCCAGCAATTTCTGTTTTTGTTTCTGATTTACAGTATCAGCAGTTTTATCAGTTTTTAGAAAGGAGGCAAAACCTGAGATGACACCGCAAGTGTGAAAAACTGAGAGGGTTTCTGGGCAGGATTTATTCAGCCACAATTTCAAAGGGGAAAGGAAGAGGAAAAGGAAAAGGAAATAGACAGTGTTTCCGATTCATCTCCCAGTGCCCCATTACACAAAGATATACAGGAGAAAGTAAAGAAAATAAGATTAACTAAACAAGTAACGTTTTCTTAAGTTATAGAACAAAATACTGATTAAAATGCGACTTTTCACCTAGTCTTTCCATTTTCCAATTCCATTGATTTCCGGTCCACCTGCAGATGAACCAGGAGGTTTACAGTCAGAACAAATTTAAAGCCAAAATTATGTGGAAATACTGTTTTAATTCATTCATAGGATGTGGGCATCCCTGGTTGGGTCAGCATTTTATTGCTTGTCTCTAGTTGCCCTTGAGAATGTGGTGGTGATCTGTCTTCTTGAACTGCTGCACTCCCTGTGTTGTGGGTCAACCTACAATGTTGTTAGGGAGGGAATTCCAAGATTCTGACCCAGTACAATTGCAGAACAAAAAGTGCTCTTTAAAACTTGGTAATTCAACTCTCCTAATAGTAATAGTTGTTTAAATACAAACCTTCTGCAAATTTCTTTTCCAGTTCTGTGTTTCCTACAGCCTTTGCTGTTTGACAGATTTATTGAAGGAGTTCTTCCAATCATCTCATACAATGAATTATACTTGCCTCAAGAACTTCTGTCATTACCATTACTTTCTGAACTTTTATTCTGCTTTTTAGCAAAAGTGTATAAGATTGAAATTCTATGCGTGTTTGACTTCACAAGAAAAGCATGCAGCTTACTTCAGCTCATCAAAGGTCAAATGATGAATTGGCAAGTCTTTACTGAATAAGTTTACGGCTTTCTGGCCAAACTATATAAAGCCACAGCCAGAGACTGTTTAGTAGCTGGCTGTAGCAGCCTGTCTTATGCATTGCAATGAGGATAGATACCAGCTAAGGTATAATGTATTCTTAGTTATCTGCTATTTATTTCCAAAGGCAAATGCCAATAAATCAGGTGACATGATGTCTACAACTCTTACATCATGGGTTCTGTTGAAAACAAAATGGCTAGATTTCTATTTCTCATGGGGAATCATTTCCTTAAGAGAATAAATAATTAATGCTGCATAGTTTAAACGCAACTGAATAGGTTTCACCTTCATCTCAAATGTTTCAGTTCAGTTATTCGTGCAACAAAGGTGCACAAGCACTTGTTTGGCCTCTGTTAACGTTGACTTTTAAAAAGGCTATTTGAGATTTATAAATATCCAATTCATCTGCTATAATTACAATGAAGCATTTCATAGACACAAATCTTTCTCAACAACCATAGCGATAGTCAATGTTCTCTAGCAGTTTTATTGAAGAACTATGGGTTTTAGTGAATGTGAATGTGGTCAAGTTCTGTTTAGTTGAGAATGGAATTGCCATCTGTTAAACACTGTCCAATTTTGCTTCGCATTGTAATATACACCTCATTTTTTGGCCTTGTTTCCTTTTCTGAAGAATGCAGAATGCTTATATAAAATGTCATGCCCTTAATTTGCCTGGTATAGCAACTCCAAGTACTATTCAAATGGGACTATTCTGTGTAATATCATGCAAAGTGTTTTTACTGTCATGTGCTTTTCCCTGCAAGTATAAAATGAGTTTTAAGCTTGACAGAACCTTTTCCCACAGACTAGGATTAATATCAATTCTATGCTTGCATATGCTTCATTGTAAACTGTGGCGCTTAGCCCCGCAATGCCTTTTTCCCATGAGTTAAAAATCAGAATCATGGATAACAAGTATCCAAACAGATGTTGCTTGCTGCGAGAGTGAGAAATTATACATTGCAGACCCCAACCTCATCAAACTGAAATCTATCTTTCTTTACAATCATCTGAAACAGGTGTTAACCTATAAAATGTCAAGTGGACTATTTACTGCTCTTCCACTTATGCTCATTTCCCAGGTTGAGCTATTCATCAAATTCCATAATTCCATGACAACAAGGTTGCAGAGCTGGATGAACACAGCAGGCCAAGCAGAGCTCCTATGATGCTGCTTGGCC